CTTTCCTATTTTTTAGTTTAAAAGAAGTATACTAATAGCACACTTGAATAAACTTCTTTTTCATAAGGGTAGGCCTAAGTATTATTCACTACAGCAATAAAAGTCTTAACCGTGTTTACGTAAAAAAAAAAAAAAAAACTGAATTTACAGGAGGCGGCAACAGCAAAACGATAAATGGCAACGTGTTCAATAGCCTATAGTTTATAACTTTAATAATAATCATTAACAAATTAAGTCATATAGTTAATTAGCCTAACTATCCGAAATTTTGGATTGAAAATTTTTGAAAAAAGTTGCCAAGCAACGTAACTTGTTGCATTAATATACGCGGTTACAGGTGTGCCTTTATATCAGTTTATTGCAATGGCTTTAAAAACTCTATTAATTTCCGCGAATCGGTTCTTTTGAACAGGTATTTTCAAAGAACCGGTTCAAAACATCGAATTAGTGATTCTTTTACGATATGATGTAATTACCTCATTACTTGACATCCTGATGTGGCATGCATGTTCTAACATGTTCCAATACTATGTAGGGACATGTTAGTTATTAAGCTTTTTTGACTGCGTTTTATTATTAAGAGTGTTTAATGTAATGTGCCCCAGTTCATTTATTTGCAGCCTTAAGGTTATGAAAACGTTAGAACCATATTATGATTGCATTCAGCCCTGTGTCATTTACTAAAATCCATTCAAACTTCTGACTGAAAAAGGTTTGTGTGTTTTAGTTACTTTAATGTTTTAAAAAGTTATTAATACCAACTTATGCAGGTGAATAAAACTGCAATGGTTCCCACCGTATTTTACTTGTAACATTTTAACCTTTTTACCCTAACTGTTCACTCTTTTCTTCTTGCTATCGTATAGATGTTCAAACAGCAACGAATCGTAGACGGTTCTGGGTTCAATGAGCCTTTCAGTTGATGACTCGCGAACCGCCAGAACGATTCAGTGATTCGTAAACGAATAGTTCAGACTGGATTTGTATACTGTTCAATACATTAATTGGGAAAAGCTCCGACTCAAACGATTCGCTCACGCATCGGACATTGCTAGTTTAGCTCAGTCGGAACTATCCTTTTTGTAAAATAATACCAACACGCGTCTCCAAGGATAAAAGAGCCATTTTTACTATTTTTTTATTGCGTGATTTCAATTTCTCAAATGATCCTGCGGGATTCTGACAGTCCATCTGTTATGGTAGGTGCAGTGTTGGGGGTAATATGACTAATGCAATATTGTAATGCATTACTTTTAAAAGTAACTTTCCCCAACACTGGGTAGGTGTGTTATGCATTCTGCAGATGGCATGCAAAGGTAGGTGGTTTATTTTTGTAAGTTGCTGTCCTCCTTTGGTGTGACAGTATCTAAGCAGGGGGTGGTGCATGTCTTCTGATGACTCTCCAAAACAAACTTGTTTCTTTGTTGATGCTTTGTTAGACTTCACGTTTGAAGCTGGATACGGGTTTACTGTAACTAACTGGCCCAAAAATGTAGTAATAAGTTTAGGAGTATAAATAAATATAGTAAAAGTAGATCTTTCTTTACCTTGAGAAAAATCTCTCTTAGGCAGGCCTCTCCTTGGTGCATTCTCTAAACGATCATAACCTAATATTCTAGTACATTTTTAATGTTTTCAGGAAGAGTATTGTGATTACTGTGTCTAACATGACTGATTTTGAACCATTAATTTGAATGTCTTCCCTGCTAGCAATAGTAAATATTTAAATCTTAATATATTGGTTGAAAATCACCTATTAGTTGCCTAGTAGATATGCCATTGACTGATGGCTTTAGCTGTGAACTGGAGGTCAAAGATGTCTTCTCTACCCCCTGGGTTTACATCTTTTGATGTCTATGGGCCACATTGTTGGCAATGAAGAGCTACCGAGCTTATGTGTTATCTGTTGGGAAGAGGGGAGGGCGGATGTTTACAGAGCATTATCACCAGCTGATATGAATCAGACCCTTCATAGTACTAACACCTCGAGCTACATCTTGTTTGTAGGACAAGATAGCAAATCTTGTTTGTAGGACTTTCTGAACTTCAGCGTATAAAAATAGGCTAATGAATGCAACATGCAATGAAAACAGCAGGTGCAAATTTCAAATACTGAAAGCTTTATGAAGAAATATTACTTTGAAAGATGCTTTTATTGTAAGAAAAAGGCATATAAATTTCTGTACCTTTAAAAAAGCCACAACTGATTAAGAAGAGCATTTTGAGGTGTCTGACCTAGTTGTGCAGCATCAAAACAAGCAGGGTGAATTCTGGATGCCATTGTGTTAAGGCACTTTCAATAATGCCAAAAGATATATGGTGAGCACAGAATATCCATCTTGAAAAGTAAAGATAACAGAGAACTAAAATAGCTGGTCTGGACTGGTTTTACTCTGACAATAAATCTCTACAAATATCACAAAAATATTACCACTGTATATATATATATATATATATATATATATATATACACACACATACACATAAATATTTACCCCTGGTCCTACAATAAATAAGATTACATAATTGGTTTTCCAGCACAGAACTTTGTGGTCAAGCTACAGGCAGTCTTCTCGTCATTGTTTAAATGAGTCAAGTAGAGTCATTAATATGATTGGTGAAAATGACTGGAGAAAAATATTCTGAAAGTATGTCTGGTATTAATAATAGAGCTGATTATGTAACGTCATAAACACAATTCCGATCTTACCCACATTTTATCTGGGATGCTGTCACGGCTGCCCTTCCACTGGGGAAGTACAGTGTGTATTTTAGTAAAAAGCCTGCCCTCTAGTGGTGCACAAACTGTACAAACTGTACAAAACAAAATATATTCATAAGCCTTAAAATAATACCTTTAATAAGAATCTAAAAGGGGTAGTCAACCCAAAATTGTAAATACTGTCATCATTTGCTCACCCTCATGTCGTTCCAAACCTGTATGACTTTCTTTTTTCTGTGGAACAAAAGAAGATATTTTGAAGAATGTTGGTAACAGAGCAGTTTCGGTTCCCATTGACTTAATATAACAACATTTTTCAAAATATATTGTTTTGTGTTTGAGTTTGGAACAACATGATTCCAACAGAATTTTCATTTTTGGGTGAACTATTCCTTTAAGAGGAATATGCTTAAAAAGACTAAATGGAAATTAATTGAATCATATCAATCAATTCAAATCAATAAATCTCCACCACAGGGACCTTTTACCTTTTTAAGTATTTGACTCTGGTGTGTTTCTGTTCCAAATATATTAGCCATATTCATACACAACTGTCATACTATCAGAAGTAACCACAAACTAAATTCCGTCCTAAAATGCATCTTAGAAACATTATCAAAACTCAATCCAGATCATAGTACTGTCTCTACTTATGATTCTCTTTTTAAGACCCAGAATTAAAACCTGAAACCGCTGCTTGTGCAATCAGTCAAACATGAAACAGCAAAGAAAAAAATTAAAGGCTCATTTATAAGACATCGGCTCCAGCACGAGGCGGTCTGAGTCCATATCTAAAGTCGTGTTGGAAATATGGACTCCAGTTCTTCTGATTAGGACAGTTCACGGTAGTTGTGAGGTGCGGCGGGGAGCTGAGACACCCCAAGTGGCACCGCAGGACAGAAGTATGGGCGAAGGCAACTTGGTGTCACAGAGCTGGGCTAGACGTCTTCCATTCTTCTCTTCGCTGACAAACCACACGAGACACTCCAGGGCAGGGCATGTTACAAGTTTCATTTTTTAGAAATCAGTGTCCCAGCCGGAATTGTCATCTGGAGGAGGATCCTCATTGTCCTCAGGAAAGCTATCAAAGTTACTGGTGTCAGTCGGGCTTGCAACCTAATAGGTGCGTGAACGGAGGAAATAGGATGTTAGACGGAACAAATATTGAGCAGTAATGTAAATGTTGTAAACACAACTGTAAAAAATAATAATTTGTGCCTGCACGTTTATTCATTATTCATGGTCTCAAATACCAACCAATATAAATTAGTACTGAATTCATACATATTTAATTATAATAAACTTTTATTTTATGGACCATTGTGGAAATATGGCAGCACAATTAAAATAAAAGTGAAATCACAATATCAAAAGTGCAATTATCAAATCGCAAAGGTTGCAATTTAATTTTGAAAAAGAAGAAATTAAGGGTTGACACTCCAATTTATCCTACATTTTTCTGACAGCATTTAACTAACAATGTAATTATGTTGAAAATACTTGAATATATGTGACCCTGCCTGTGAAAACCCAGCTAAAGTCCTTTTTTTGTGATTTACTGTATTCTACATAAAATCATCCTTCATAAAGATGTAGAACATTCTGTGAAAATATAACCTTTATATCTTTTATATTGACTGAGTAAGGCCATGTCAAAGATTGAAATCATAGTGAAATTAATGGTTGAAATCAAACTTTAATGCTTGTTATCTCATAATTAGATTTTGAGACTTTAGCCTGGATTTCACAGACAGGGTCACATATTTCAAATGCAAATCTCTTAGTTGCTCCTCCTTTCACATATTCAAATTCACACTTATGAATTAAATTGGAGCATGTTTAAAATGGAGATGTTTTATACTTACATCAGGAATAATTGGAGGGGTGAGAGTTCCTTTGCGCAGTCCTTCCCAGTTAAAGCCTTCAAACCATCTATGATGGAAAAAGGGAATTCACATATGTCTTATAGAAACAGAATAGAAATGGTGGGTAGGGTGGGATTTTCAGTTGAACTTTCAGTCTTTGGAATTGATAGATTTAAACAATTGTACTTAGAACAGAGATGTTACCAAAATGACAAACAAATCTTAAGGGCTGTGTAAAAAATATCGATATCTAGATATTAATCAATTCTCATTTTTACGGAACAATATAGATTCTTAAATCCCAAGAATCGATTAGTGTGGCCTGTTTTCAGTTAACAGACGGAACATTGAAGGGCACTTCCCATCCAATACATCGCAATAAGCATTGTGCTTTGGTATTTTTAATATGAAACAAAGTCTCAGATATCTCCTCCACATTAATACCAGTTTCAGCACAAAATAAACATGACTAAACATCCGAAGGTAAGTTAAAAGAAAGAGTACAACTTTACAATCCTTATCCTGTCTCATGTAATCGCTCAATCAGTGTTTCAGCCTCACAAAGATTGTAAACAATGTCACGTAACGTCACATTTACCTCAGAAAAACATATTCGGTGACCATAAACTCATTAGTCAGATAGAAAAATAAACTGTAGAGAGGGGCATTTTGCTAAATATATGCACCATATAACATATTCATTATAAATTTGACTGTTCTTCAATGTTTAATTTATGTTTGAATAAATCCATCAAGAATTTATGACAGCCACCATTATGTTTATATAAAAAATAATAATAATTTGAAGTAGAAATATTATGTAATTGTAACTTTATTATTTTAAAAACTTCATTAAGTGAAATTTTAACAAATCAGTTAATTTTAACCTTCAATATTATAGTAATGTAGTACCAACTGACTCTCATGTATATTTTACAGCATTAGTTGAGAGATTTTTTTTCCTTGAGAAAATTTGGCATGTACTGTACCTGATATATATCCACAATAATCGATATTGAATCGAATCGAATCGAATCACAAGCTTGCGAATGAGAATCGAATCGAATCATGAAATTTGTGTCAAAACCCAGCCCTACAAATCTTGACCCCATGCACAGCGTAATAAGACAAGTTTTTATAGGAATTCCTTGACCTTAATTTTTTATTATAAAATTTCAGCGCTTTTCCAGACTTCCAGAATCCCCAAAGAACAGTGATATTACAGTACTCACTTGTGCTTTTGGATATCTTTGACTCCATTTTTCAAGTTTCCTAGCCTCTCAGATGGATTGTCCCTGAGGGAAGCAGTATATTTCAAAACAGATTTAATTTATGGAGCTCATATTTTGTCATAAATGCCTTTGATAAATCTAGATCCAACTTTTGCTAACTAAAAAAACTACAAGTTGTTTTTTAACCTTAATGTATAAATGTATGCTACAGGTTAAAACAGCAGAACATTTTAGTTAATTTAAAACTTGGCTGAAATGTATATTAATGTGTCAATACTAAACAATAAATCTGCACAGATTGAACTTCAAAGCTTTTTAAATGTACCCACCTGCATAGTTTTTTAATTAGATTGCCTGCATTTTTGGTGATCTTCTTTGGAAATTCTATCATGTCGATTCCTCTTAAAATGATATTATATGTCTTCATTGGATCCGGTCCTGAGAATGGTGGGCTGAACAAGAAAAGCACATTAGATTTGATAAAACTAGGAGGAGGAGTAATCCTAACACACAAACTGAAAACATTTGAGCTTATCTTGTCAAACCCAATGACAGGAAAAACATTTTACCTTCCAGTCAAGAGTTCATACATAAGAATTCCCAATGACCAGTAGTCTGCTGAGATGTCATGTCCTTTATTCAGTATGATCTCTGGGGCTACATACTCCGGCGTTCCACAGAAAGTCCACGTCTTCTTCCCAAATCCAATCTTTTTAGCAAAGCCAAAGTCCACCTACAAGAGACAAACAGCATCTTCATACCAAAACTGCATTTGTGGCTTTTAGTCCATGTTCTTTAAATATATTATTGTATTCCAAAGTTGACAACAAACAAGGTCATTTTGGGTGAATGGGCCAAAAATATTGATGACTCATGTCGCACTAAGGGGTGTATGCACATTGCTGTCCAATCAGATGCACTCTAGATGGGAAGTCCCGCCCTTTGATACCAACTAACAACAAAATTCAGCTCCTCAGAATGTGTCATCTCATATTAGAAAGTGCTTGAGATGTATACTCACAAGCTTGGCATACCCTCTGTGATCCAGAATGAGATTTTCTGGCTTTAAATCACGGTAAATTATTCCCTTGGAATGCAGGTATGCGAAGGCTTCAACCACACAGGCTGTATAAAACCGTGTAGTGGAGTCTTCAAAGGATCCTCTGTGAATAAAAAAAGAAACCCGCTGGTGTTTTACTGAGTTTCCATTATTTAGAGTGATTAGCATCGGCCATCATCACAAAAACAATTTGGCTACCTGTCTCTAAGTATGGTCCAAAGCTCTCCGCCTAGACAGGCCTCCATCAACATGTACAGATATTTACTGTCTTTGAAAGTCCTATACAATCTAAGGGAACACAACCACACAATTTTGTCCATCAATGTATTTTTTTTTTGCCTTGATATTTTTTAGGATATGACCTCTATTGATGCTCTCGGGACGTTTTAGCACCTACCTTACAATGAAGTCTGAATGAGCCTCCTGCATGATCTGTTTCTCAGAGCGGATGTGCTCCTGTTGCCGCGTGTCCACGATGTGACGCTTCTTCAGAATCTTCATTGCAAATGTTTTGATCTCTTCACTCTTGAGCTGCACCTGTGGACACCGAAGGCACACAAAAAATGAGCGCTGAGAAAGTGCTAATAAACTCATTTTCAATGGAAAGTAGCTGTAAAAAACAAGTGCTAGTGCTCCTTATTATAGCACTTCAGTCAGGGTCTATTAATGTGTTAAGGGTCCTCAAAATAGATCAAGCAGGAATTCTTCACATTGCGTCTCTCTGTGAAGGCACTTGCATGTTCGTTCGATCTTGTAGCTATCTAGCAAATGGATAGCACTACAGGCATATATCACAGCCCCGGTGAAAGGACACTTGTTTTTACTATGTTGCCGCAGTGCCAGAAATAGGCGAGTGGAAAGGGAAATCCTCTACCCAGATCACTGGGCTTTCCTTTACAACAGAATCTGATCCGCAATGCGGATCTCTGCTCTCCTCTCTACATCAAAGTTTCCATCATCTTCTTTCAACATATATGGTCCTGTGGAAAACGTCATACATTAATGATTTATGTTGAAACTATCTATCTATCTATCTATCTATCTGTCTGTGTGTGTGTGTGTGTGTGTGTGTGTGTGTGTGTGTGTGTGTGTGTGTGTGTGTCTGTCTGTCTGTGTGTGTCTGTCTGTCTGTCTAGCCGACTGTCTATCTGTGTCATTAACTGTCTGCCTACCTAACTACTTTCTATCTGTTTACTGACCTACCTAGCTACCTATCTATCCATCCATCTCTCCTAAATTACTTATGGTTCGGTTGTATCACAGTTTTGGTACGGTTCGGTATGTGCTATGTTTAGGGAAAACAGGACTATACTGTCAAATAAAAATAAAGAAAATAAGAACAAATAATTAACTACAAGTAACCGCATAAATAAATACAATAGAGCAAAGATACAAATATAATAAACAGTGCTTTTCAGGTTTTTTAGGTAGGTCTAACATTAGTTTTTAGGTACAGAAATTGAATAAAGTAATCAAATGTAAAATAACATTGCATATTTGACTGTATAAATTAAAGATTAATCCTTATTAAAGTTACAAAAGCTATTCAATCAAGAGCAGTGAGTGATTTCTTTCTCTTTTGTTGTTTGATTAACATTAAAAACTTTAAGATAATGTATGGATCTAGTACACCGATACTGTACGTTCAACTGACTATGTCTGCTAGGAATCTCACCAAGACAGGCATGTTAATATAATTTTTGTGTGAATTTGTCCATTCAAGCACAAGTCTTGAAAGAGAACTCAGTATTTGTGCGCTCTCTGAGATGTGGGTTTGGTGCTTCGGATGCGCGCACACACAGATCTTCTAACAGCACGCGCAAGTTCTCATTTGCGTATTCTGGCTCTTTAATGTTTAAACTGGCGAGGCAATGCGTTTAGTTTAAACGGATAGCAACATGCACTGTGCAGGTCTCACCTGCACATGCGCGCTATCAACACCTAGGTGATGACGGCATAAATGACTGGTCATATTCGAGCATATGGCACTCGCACTGAACAAAGTTTACAAAGAGTGACTGGTTTGTCCACGTTTCTTTTTTTTTGTTCATCACTGTTGTTGTAATGTATTGGGAAGCCAGAATGCATATCCATCTATCTACTCATTAAACTAGTCTTGTTGAACATTGAATGGCAGTAAGTCAGATGTCTGCCCTATTAGCTCTGTTGTGGAAAGTTACCCTGAATAGAGTCACAGCATTCCCAGACCTGATCTGTCCTTCAGCACAGTAGAACACATGAGAGCTGCTCATGTGTCCAGCACTGTGTAAATTAGATTAGTAAAATGTATACTTATCATTGGTTGACATAAGTTTTTGTATTGAGGTGTTGCATAACACCAGAATATCATAAAGCAACAACTCCATATGCATCCACCGTTCTTTTACTGCAGGGGTGTCCAATCCTGCTCCTGGAGGGCCAAGATCCTGTGGAGCTTAGCTCCAACCAGCTCCAAGTTTGAGCTGGTTTGAGTTTGAAGACCTTGATTAGCTGGTTCAGGTGTGTTTAATTAGGGTTGGCGCTAAACTCTGCAGGACAGTGGCCCTTCAAGAGCAAGTTTGGTCAACCCTGTCTTACTGCAATCACATTTTAGTGCTTAATTATAGAAGGAGCTGATGAATTTGAACGTTTTTTACTTATTAATTTACTTGCAAACATATCATGAAATGCATGCATATAGAAATGGCTCATCCTACCAGCTCAACTCTTCCAAATCCTCCAACTCCCAAGGTATCGATGATGTTGAAGTCCACCAGCTTCAGGTTGGAGAAGAAGGCATTCTCGGCCTCGTATCTGCATTTTTTGAAGTGGAAAAAGGGAAACTTCTTAGAGGTTTGGATAGAGTATGTAATAGGGAATGTTGGAGCAGGAATTGGGGCAGGAAGGCTGTTTATTCGCTCCCTCTCTTTTCTCTCCTTTACCGGGATAGGAAGTAGCTCACGCATTCTGACCTCCTTGAGGCTTGACCAAACCAAATACTGTGAAACAATTAAATGTACAATTCTCAAAACGGCTAGCAATATTGCAAAGACGATCTTGCAATATCTGACTTGCAATATGCAGTACAGCCCTCGCCTCAAGAGCACGTATGGCAGAATAATAACAACAGTCTTTGCTCAAATGTGGAGCTAAGGCGCCATTTCCAGGTTACATTTCGAGATTCGGGATGCAGCGCAGATCGAAGAACAGAGCGATCCAGATTGGTGGAGTCTCTCCGCATCAATATCGGTTTGTGAAAGCTCTTCTGGACACAAAGTTTGGATGCAGAAATACCCAAAGTTACCACAGTCATCAGCAGAGCAGCAGAGACAGTACTAAAAGTCGAACAAAGGTCCTCGCTGAAAATCTCACAAAGCAAGAGGTTTTGTCCTTGCAGCAGCAGGAGTGCACGCTGAGGGACAGTACTCTTGACTGGTGAGACTAGTGCTGTCCTTGTGACTAAGTCTCAGTCCCTGTGCTTAAACTGAGCTTGACTGTGCTCCCTGTGTGAGAGTCTCTACTAATACTGCCTTGCCTGATCCAAGTTTATTTTTAGCATGTGAACTTGGCTTACGGTTCTCCTAGTCAGAAAAGGTGTCCCTGCTCTACCCTCACACCACCATCTCTCTTTAAAGTTCAAATTGAACTTGAGAAGGACATTGGCGCTGCATAATTATGAACCCATTTGCATGCTTTAGAGTTGAGAGAATGAACCTTTCAATTAACACTTATAATAACAAAATTAGTTCGTCCTGGAAATAAGTGTGATATCTAGGCCTTCTGACAGGAAGAACCTGGAAGACTGGAAGAAATGTATCTTTAGCTAGATAGGAAGATAGGATTTCCATGTTGATGCTGCCAGCTGTGGAGATCAGGGAACTTACTTAGTAACTGTACTTCATTACTATACTTAGTAACTGTGATTCATTACTATACTTAATTGTTTTTATGATTTTATACTTTGCTCGAGTACTTCTGAAGCTGAAGCTGCAAGGGGAAAAACATTTGTGTTACCCCTAAAATGTCAAAAACCAGCTACATATTTTACAGCACATGCATTTTGACATGCTTGGGTCACAAGCACGTTGTTGACCTAAAGAAATATGTTTCATTTATAACCACCAATTTATCAGTCAAATGTCAAATAACTATAAAAGCTGACACTGATTAATTTAATTTATAATATAAGCTTTGGTATAACTCTAGTGTGTCCTGGAGACTTACATAGTCATGACAAATGCCATTTGAATTTTATTAATATTTCCTTTTTTAATAACTTTGCACATTTGAATTAAGACCATTATTGATTTAATCTGAATCATAAATATCACTTAACTAAAATGTTTTACCTAAAGTTTAGTTTCACTCAAGGTTTATTTATTTATTCAGCTAGATACTATGGACTTTAGATTGTATCTGAGTTTGACATGGCATATACATGGCACAGGGATAGTTCACCCCAAAATGTTTTCCGAAAAATTAAATCATTGGGATCCCATGTTGTTTTAGATTGATTCTTTGATTGCATTTGTTTTCATTTCTTCAATATCTTTTGTTTTCCACAGAAGAAAGATACATGCAGGTACACAGTAATACAGGTTCAGAATGAGTAAATTCATTTTCATTTTTGGATGAACTATCAATTTATAACATACTTTTTCCACACATCTGAGTATTTCTACTTGCCATTCTCAAATCTAGACGGTAAAATGCCTCGAGTCAAAATCTTGAGGTCAAAGTCTCAGTACAAGCTCAGAATCCCTCATGTCACTTTAGAAGCTGGAAAACACCCTGGAAGACCACCACTGCTATTTGACACGGCAAGGACACAGTATTTGCAGTAAGTTTCCATATTTAACTAAGACTCCAGGCAGGGGGGACAGCTGCCCTCTCCAACCTCTCCAGGCAATGAGAGAACTCCGACCAATGCAGTTGTCCGCATAAGAAGAACACGCCACATAGTGACATGGCTGTTTCTGCCAAGGTCGACAGTCATTTGGAAAGAAGAGAATATTCCGGTACATTGCCCCATCTATATCAGCAAATGTGTCTAAAGCTTCCAGTTTCAGTATTTTGGGAATAACCAGAACTTGATTCCCAGCTCCACATAAGGGGCGTTCACACTGGAGGAACATTTTCAGTATTCACTTTTTGGCATGTTTGCACCGCAGGAACTAGGAACAATTTCAGTTATAGGAACGCCTTTTTGGGGGGACTAAATTAGCTCCTACTTCAGAGTAGGGTCCAACCCAGCACAATAGGAACCACCAGTGACATAAGGGGCTTTCGCACCAGGTAGTTATAGGAACTAGACACCAGGGCGTTCCCCCGAGAACTAAATGTTCTCCTGGGGCCGTTTTCCTGGTTGCATTAGTACCACCAATGGGAACTCTGAAGTGATGTAAGCTGGCCAAGAGCGACATCATTTAAATGCGGCATTCATTAACATTGTTGAACATTGACAGCAGTTGGAAGAGGGAGGAAAGAGAACAGCCCATTCTTCTGCATCGGTCCATCTATCACAGTTTTCCATGTTTGTGGAGCTAGCTCATGGAATAAGTACATGTAAACTGTGTGTTTACATGTTTTTTTTAAATTCCGGTGTATCAAATGGCATGCTTTCAGCCAATAAGTACCCAGTGTGAAAGCCCCTATGAACTACAAATCAACTCTTGGACTAAGAGTTCTACTTTGATAAAATAAATTACGTTGGACATTATGGAACATGTTTACTGGGGCACAATCTACTACAGGTAACTGGTACAATCAGCAGCTTTGTAGTTAAAGGGACAGTTCACCCAAAATTTAAAATCCCCGCAAGAATTTTGTTTATCTTTGGAAAACAAATGGTGCACAAGAATGAAATTCATGAGTCATACATGCACGTCTGAGGTTCTGTTTACCATATTTTATGTGCCCCATGTGTGCGTGTCTATCAATGTTAATATGTGAATAAAAGCCTAAGATCTGTTAATCATTTAAAGTGATCACATCTCTTCAGAAGATATGGATTAAAGGAGTCGTTCACTTCCGGAATTAACATTCTGTCATCATTACGTCCAAATAAATGACTATTCAAATTAGTTCCTGAATTTTATTAACTTTTTACATACACAATCTGATTTTATTCTATGAATCAGCCATTTTTGCACAGGTGTATCCAAGCTAATGTGTTCTCCATTGTTATGGTTACAAGCGTAACCCCTCAAGTGTTTGAGCTCCATAAGTGGGCAGAGGGGAGTGGGCTGGATTTCACATAAGCTGTTGACAGGTGATATGTTAGGTGTGAGCTCTGAGAAAAGCGACTGATGACTGACATCACATGGTCGACTAGAGTTATTTTCCACTGCCTTAGCTGAAAGAATGAGTTAGAGTGTGTTATGAAAACCCATATGTACTTCATGGGACAGTAAACAAGTCCAAGATAGTGGCTTGAGAGGCTTTGATAAGACAATCTGAAAAAGCCAAAACCGGTTTACAGTACTTGGATCTTAAAACCATACCAAAAAAAAACAAAATTTGATGTAGGCTCCATTCCAAACCTAGTGAGCAGTCTTGCATCCTAACTGAAATCGATTTGACTGAGTTGGTATGCATGCACTACATTGGCAACCTTGGATGTCAAGCAACTGATTTCATTTGAGTTTGGGATTAGCAGGTTGCTAAACTAACGACAGAACTTTAATAAGCCAATAAATAAATAAAGTACCATTTTTATCTATATGAATTAATTGAACAATTTTGCATTTGTTAATACTTATATTGTTTTAATTATTTAATCATTAATTAATTAAATAATTTCAGTGATAATATTCAGTACTAAATATATTTATCAATCATGTCTCTGTAGAAGACTTGGATTAAACTGCTCAGTTCATATGGATTCATTTTACATGTCTTTAATTACATTTTGAAGCTTGAAATTGTTGATTACATAGACTGTCAATTTAAAAAATAATAAAATAATTCAAAAACATATTTAATTAAAAATCATTTAAATAAAAAAAGTGATCCAAAAAATTTACAAAAGGTCTTAAAAGTCAAACTTGTGTGTCAAGCGACTGATTTTAATTGAGTTTGTAGATCTTGCTAAGCGAATGATAATACAAAAAATAAAATAAAACAATAATTAATTAATTGATTGATTAATTACACAGACATACCACTCATAGAAATATTAGGTAACATTTTAAATTATATGAATGAATTTAATAAATTGTTTATTTATTATTTAAATGCTATATTTTTAAATTATTTTAATTACATAATTGTTTAAATAAATACCATACTTACAGTGATATTAATATATTTCATATATATTGAGTACTATTTTAGTTGATATTCATCAACTCAAATAGTGCTCAAAATCATCATATTAACAAATCAGCTCCACATTTCATTGTGAGGAGTCTTTTATCCTCAGATTTCCTCACAATGCATTATGGGATTGTTTTTCTAAAGGATGTAGGGGATACTGTCTTAGAATTTGCCAAAGGAAGGCAGCACAATTAAAAACAGTCTGCTTTGATGCAAGACCTATAGTAAAATAAACTATTTTGAAAGTCCAAACAACATTGGACCCAAATGACTTCCATTGTATGGTCAAAAACACATAGCCGTTTGTGACATGTTTTGTGGTTTGCAAAAGTAAGAAAGTTGTACAGGTTTAGAACGATCTATTTAAAATGCTGCCTATCTAGCATGATGCCCAGAGTTTTCGGGAGGAATGTTCTATACCTTGACTGGCCTCCAGTCTCTCGCAAAAAGCTGAAGAGCAATCACATTCCTCCGTGCAGAAGTGGCAGCCTTTCAAC